AAAAAATATACAGATATAGATGAATGTATAATGATTTGGTTTCTTCTATTTATTATTAATCATGGTAATTTTTCTTGTAAATTTGTGTGTGTGTGTGTGTGTGTGTGTGTGAGTGCTCATGTTTATACACAATTCCGGGCATAATGCAAAAGTTACGAAGAATAAATGGGTTTCAATGAATCTTCTGAGATCACATTGTTGGGGAGACCTTCATTTCGTATAAAAATGCATAAAGAAGAGACTCGTACGTTGATCTCTCAAGAAGACCACGTCTAAATCCCGTTGTACTCAATGATCCTAGATTGAGAGATTAGTACAAATGATTTCGTAACCTGATTTACACACTTACAAGCTTATATTTCATTATGTCCACCAGACTTGGATACAGACTTACGAAGTCTCGGTCAGGGCTTGTTCTTGGCTCATTAAGCCTCGATGACCAGAGCCTTTTTTGACCCCTCTGATTCAACACACACACATACACATATTCACCACGTTTTCATCCGAAACGAAGGGGGAAGTCTTGTGGACTGAGTCAAACGGAAGTTCATATTAAAGACAAACGACGGTAATCGGCTGTCCTGTTCTGATAAGATTGACCTTGGTATCACTGCTCTGTGAAGGTCTCCTCAACAACTACAAGAGCCTAACGCCTGGCCGCGATGATAAAGATTTAAAGATTAGGTAAAAATCAAATCATTTTATATCCATCGGTTTCTCGGTCTCTCTTGTCTCAAAAGAGTAATGGGAACCCGGCTAATCTTCGTAACATAGAAATGGAGCGTCCAGTAATTCAGCTATGCTCCATGTATGATACTACTTTCGTTAATTTAAGCGACCACTTCTGACAAAAATTAATATTCAACCTGTAGATCAGCAGTCACCACAACAAAATCAGGCCTTGTTCACACTTTCTGTCGCACTACTCGCTTATGATCTGCTATATTGGTGCATTAGACAGCCGAGAGCAGTGACCAAATTGCCAGCCTGAACAAGAACTGTATTCATATTTACAGTTAGCATGTTTTGGTACCATCCGTAGATCATGAATATGAACATAGGTTGTGAAAAGGGTGCCGGTGGCTTCTTTTGAATCCCACCTCTCTCATTCAAATTATATACTCCTTTTATTTCGGTTTTATAAGATTAACTTTCACTTCTTATGATACCCTCGAAGCACATGTTTGCGTCCACAGGCTACACATGCTTCTGCACCCCCTCTCGTCTCTCCTCACACTCGACGTACAGCATGGGCGCAAGAGCATCACAATTCTTGTAAATTCTGGAGGCTTTGATTAAGGACTCTGAGAGGGTAGATACCATTCACGTGTAGCGTCAAAGAGCCGTCAGTTTGGCGGCTTTTGCAATATCGTACAGCTGCTCACTCGCCAATTGATGCCGCATTTGTATGCTTCTTATCTGCTTATTCTTTCACAAATCTGCCTCCATCTTCCCACTCCAAGTTAGCCGGTCCCAATTTGCAAAGAGAAAATAGTTGGCCGTCCATTTACACACAATCCGCTTACTCAGTCATCAACCATTTTTCCGGCCAGCCAGCACTTCGTAGTCAACTCCAGTCAATCAGGCAGACGCAAACACATTGGCCAACTTTCAGACAAATAACACTTGATACCTTTTGGCAGACTCTGGAGGCTAATACTATACTTACTTTGTCAGATGGGCAGGTTGGATGTCCTTAATCCTCACCACCCCTCATTCCTCGTCTGGCCAGGCCTCGACACATTTTTGCAATCATAACTCTTCTTCCCGCAAGAGCAGAGCCTGTTGGGATGTCTGCCCGCGTTTCCATGGCTGTACATGTATATATATATATATATATATATATATATTTATATTTATATTTATATATATATTTGTGTGTGTGTTGGAGACTGTATACACCATCTCACCGTGTGTGAATAGTGAAAAAAAGGGTTGTCTTCTTCGGCCAACCCGGGCACGTAGACAATTAACCCTCTTTCTGGTGTGCATGCGGACGAGAAATAACCGTCGGTTAATCCCTTTTCGACAGGCCCAAATGAAGATCGAAACTCTGTCGAGTCGAGTGAAGCGATAGGGCAGAGTTGGAGGAGGCGGTTGGTGCTGGAAATTTAGCGGACAGCGAGGCCGGAGTTGTAGAAGAGAGGCTGGAGGTGCATTAGCTGACAGCAAAAGCAGCCGTTGGCTCTTCGTCATTGTTGGAGCCGCCTGGGGCGCTGATTTGACATCCAGCCATGGCAACCTGCAGTGAGTCAAGGCTCGGCGTCGCCCGGTCTCGGGCAAAAGCAAACAGAGTAGAGGTGCCAGTTGCAGACGAGTTGAGACGATGTCGTTTTTGCGGTGTCGCCGTGTTGCGGACTCAATAGCGACACGTCATTGGCTGGCGAGCAGGACTCGAACGGCAAAAGGGCCACTTTCTCGTATTCTATGCACCCTTTCAGCCGTACAGCCTGCTTTCACGATCATTATGGGGGTAGAAAGGGAATTTGGGCTCTGGTATCTGACTCAGAATTGCATTTTCAATGTGAAAGTGAATTTGCTGAATAGTTTTGGTAATGTAGGCTTATTCTAGAAAAGAGAAATATCAAGAGGCCGGCACTGACTGGACGAGTGAAAAAGTAGCACGATTGAACAACATTAAGTCGTGAAATGTTTCCATTAAGGCGGTTGGTGTGAAAGATGTCTCGATGATGGAAGCCTTGACGACCGATCCATGACTAGTCCTGTCTATTTTTCGAATTAAGTATTGTTCTCGTGACTACCAGTAAATCAGTAATATGAGATGTATTCACCCAAGTTCGTTTAAGCTGATGAAGGACTGGTAGAAGAAGAATTTTCCCAAAATGATATGAGTTGAGCTGATGTTTCCTAATTCGAAAAATAAAAGTATAGTAGTCGATTGTTATAGAAGATATACGTTTGCTTCATCGAAAATTCCACCCAAAAGAAAATGAAATGACAATAAGGCCTGGCCTTCCTTGAAAATTCACATTTGCCCTGTCACTTAAAATGGAAGCGTCAGCTCAACTCATATCATTAGATGAAAATTCTTCTTCTACCAGTCCTTCATGACCTTAAATAAACTTGGGTGAATACTCTCATATTACTGATTTACTGTTAGTCACGAAAACAATACTTTATTCGAAAAATAAAGTATAGTAGGGGATTGTTATAGCAGATATACGTTTGATTCATCGACAATTCGACCAATAAGAATATGATATGGCAAGAAGGCCTGGCCTTTCTTGAAATTTCACATTTTTGTGAAATTCAATGGAGACGTCAGCTCAACTCATATCATTGTGGGGAAATTCTTCTTCAACCAGTCCTTCATCACCTTAAACGAAATAGGGTGAATACATCTCATAGTACTGGTTTACTGGTAGTCACGAAAACAATACTTACCGTATTTCCCCATGTATAAGCCACTCTTTATTTCCAAAATTTCCAAGCCCAAAAAGTAGGGGGGTGGCATATATAAAGTAGGTACACGTTTTATGCGTGAAAAATGCATAAAATAATAAAGTAGGGTTCAACTGGTTTTTCAGCAGTATGTTGGACTTTTTTGTAAACAATTGTAAGTGATGATATGATCACGAGACGATATTCTTGACCCCACACCTGAATATTAGAAGACGATGATGTCCGGCGGCGTTAAAATAATAATAAGGCTTTTAAGGTGGCACTACGAGAAGAATGGAACCACTACATGATGATGATGACAGCAGGAGAC